CCTATCGCTCTATTGAATTGTTGAATCAAGATGCCAAATATCTCTCCAAAATGATGGCGGACATGCTGGCGTCTATCACACCCTCACTGATTGCACCAGCTCAATCCTTTTTTGTTTCGGGGTGATCAGCGGTGATCAATATTAGGAAAACTATTGCAGCCTTGGAATACTCTTGGCTCCTTCTTCGTGTTCCTCTGCCCTTTTGGGCAACCTCACCATCTGCACGCATTTTCACATCCACTTTTGTCTCCACCTTTCTCCCTACACATAATATCCAAACATTACTATTCGGTGATGATATCCTGCTCCTTTTATCTGATCCTGAATCCCAAATCCCTATAATATTCGAACACAATTTATATGCCACCTTCACAGGTCTGTCAATTAACGTGGACAAGAGTGAGTTATTATTCCCGTCACCTGCCTTACACCCTTGTAACCTGACATGGACATCGGCCTACCCACTCCAAATCCGTAATAAATCTATACGATATCTGGGAATTACTATACCCAGAGTCGCAACTGATTTATATACTCTAAATTTCACACTGGTTATACGCAAAATACTCCATGAGTTACACTCCTGGATATCCCTCCCATTATCACTCCTGGGCAGATGTAATTCAATTCGGATGGTTAGTATCCCCCGCCTTCTATACTTTTGTGGACATTTTATTAGGATGTGTTTTTAGTGTATTGTAATATTTTGTCATTATGTCTCTCAGTGTCAGGATTTGCTGCGTCACGCCAATTGGAGCGTGACCCGGTTTAAACCATTGGAGTAGATATCTTATGCGTGGCGGAGCAGTGTCTTCTTGGTGAATGTATGGATGCCGGCTAGGGCCCCTGCACGGTGCGCGGATTTATTGGTTTGGCGTGTATACAACTTGCTTTGAGGACATAGTATTAAGATACATATCTGCCTTTAATGGAAATGGTACGGCATTGTCCCTGCAGATAAACATTCATGGGAATCATAGTAACGTTATTGGGCATTGATAACTGAGCAATGCTGAATAAAGTTCACTCCGGTGGTAATAGATTATTGTATTAATGTGTTTTGTTAGCTGGCTATGTTGAAGTGATGGTGGTTTCCTGTTCACTCCCTGTCTTGCCCCACTTCCTGTCTCGTTGTTTGAGACATCACTTTCTGTTGGGGAGCTATAAAAATAAACAAATACCTGTGCTGACTCTAAGAATGAAACTAGCAAGCAAGCAACACCTGTCTCCTTTGTCCTAACTCATCATGACTCTACAGAGGTACTTCCAGTCCTTGCACAAAAGAGCGTAATACAGGGGGAAATTCTTTGTGTTCGACATACTGCAGTTTGGTGCGGCATGGATTTGTGCGTTGAACCAAGCGAATTTCCATAACAATACCCACTATAAACTTTACCACTCCTTTACCACTCCTCCTCAAACAGTGACGTCACACCGCGAGGCTCCTCTTACGCGTTTTACCAGTATATAAGAGGCCTCTGAACCCATGGACGGCGTTCCACTATTGGGTTCATGGCCCAACACCCCAGGAGCATCACCAGCAACCAGCCCATTACCCGGACCTCTCACCACCAACCTTTGGAGGCATTCCCAGGAGTCCTAAGGATCAGCAGAACCAAGGGGTTTCACTCCCCTCAACTGCAAGTACTTGCATTAGCTTTACTGATTACTCTGTTTGGAGTCGTTACACTGCCACCTGGTGGATCCTTTGCATATCTTCTCCATATTTTGCCTATGCTCTATTACTATCAGTGCATAACTGGATTGTTATTGCGGAGTTTGTTCTATCTAAAGACTGTTTAGTTAACAACCGCTCCCTCATTTGCATACCACTCCTGTGATATTAAGAATATGGAGTAATATTCCTCATACATAGTGTACCTTAGCCTCTTGTTATTTTTTCTGCGGTAAATGATTTCTAAATCCCAAACTCTTCGTTTGTGATTGAGAGTGCCGCCTGGGATTTTAGCCTGACACTGCATTTTCAAACCCTACTGGTTAGAACTGCAGCTGAGATCCACCGCACCTCCCTGAAGTAAGGTACATGACAACGCATGACACTGCCTATTACTCGAACACTCCCTTGGAACAATACTTGGTCCGTCCCGGGTCACTTGATGGGGTGTTACATACTCCTATTCGCAAACTGCCGCCCTATATAAAACGGAACATCCTCCTTCGAGACACTGTCATTACATGGAGGGAACTTAGAAACCTGTGTCGTCTCCCGGGCACGGTGTCCCCCCTTATGCCTCTTACATCCTCCCCTATATTCCCGTTGGGATTGTCCTCCCACACTTTCCATGTTTGGCATGCCCATGGCATAAAAACGTTAAGTGATCTATTAACCCCCTAGGACAATGTAAAACGCTGCCAGACCTTATGGCGACGCATCATATATCTTCCAAACACTTTATTCAATGTGGTCAAATTTGCCACTTTATCAGATCTCATCTATCTCTCCCCGCATGTATATGCTGAGTGACCCCAGTGTCTTAAGTGGTGCAGCAGCTGTAATACCGGTTACTTATATTTGTTATATTTTTTCATTGACCCATAAGCGCAGATTTTACAAACTTTATCTCTCCCCGCATGACTATAGCTCCCCCTTCTCCAAGCTGTTGGCGTGCCCCTAAAGCAAACTCTCTCTCTCAGACATACTCTATTATACACACCTCCTTCTCAACCCGTTCTACATCGATACCAGCCTATGCACGCAAATGGGCGGTGTTGTTACATATGTCACCAGAAGAATCCCATGATCTGATGCTTGGGAGCTGGCGTGGTGTATGTAAGGATGTCCCCAGTGAGACATGTAGCGAAGTCCAATTTAAAGTGATACACAGGGCATACTGTGCATTTAATTATCGCCCACTCTCACATAGTCCAGATTGGCTGATTCACTGCCCGAAATGCCTTTCCCCTAGCCCTGACTTAAACCATATTTTCTGGCACTGCCCATTTATCCAACAATTCTGGGTAAATAATTACCGTTATATGACCTCTCTATCTGATATTTCTAGAACATTCTCCCCATCCTTTTGCTTATTTCATGTTGTGGAGGAATCTTCCACTCTCTCCCACTCTCCAGCATCTCAATGGGAACATTATTGCCCCATGGCAGCCAACAAGTGCATTCTAAGACCATGGCTTCTTCCTTCCCCGCCCACTATGACAGATGTTAAAAATACTCCCCACCACCTCATGCTCCTTCATAAACGTGACACCAAACACAATCTACATTATACGGGTAAATGTTACAACCTGGACTAATTTTCTAGTGCAAGAACTAACCATGACCCAACTGAAGGACATAATGTCCCTATTCCAATATTCATCATGGTACCTCCTAGCCCAATCTGAGGGATCTCTGGGTAGGCTTGATGTTCTGTGATAATTTGAGGTCTGGTGATATCTGTTCATATACGCTAAAATGCCTATCTTGTATTTTTCTTTTATATTTTATCTTAAACCCTTACTCTGTTTACTCCTTTTAGGTCCCATGTCCTGGTGAATTCCTTTTTGCCAATACCTTTAAATATGTGGTGCACTCATTGCTTGTACATGATCCGATCTATCTGCATCCCCCTGCATTGTCCCCCCCCCCTTTTTTTTTTCTTTTTATAATTTGTTCTCCTATCTCATCCACCCCTACTCGCTTTAGCATTCACCCCTACTCGCTTTAGCAAGCTATAGTATCTTTACGGTATTTTAGAAACTTTACATTACTACTGATGTAATCTGTTTCGAGCGGCTATAGATACTACTACAAAAATCTTTGTTCATCGTATTGATAAAATTCTGCAAAGTGCTTGGATATTATATGGTATAGATATTATATGTGTTTAGATAGATGGATTGTACGGCTGCACAACAATATTTGACAACCGCCTATCTCTTGGTCAATGTTACAAACTCTAACAAAAATATACATGAAAAAAACAACAAACAAACAAACAAAATGAATTGGAAAAAAAAAAAAGGAAAAAAAAAAGTCACAGTCTCATCTCCTCCTTCCCTCCCCTCCTCCAATGGCCATGAAAAGGAGCCTAACATTCCTGGTAAGTACATTGTAGTGATGTCAGACTCTATCCGTGGTTTCCATGTCACCATAAATTGTGGGTACCTGTTCTGGGATCGCGCTACTAACTCTTCAACCCTTCTTAAAAAATTCATTTATTTGACCCAATCTTTAATTTGAGGTGCATCTTGAGACATCCAGTATCTAGCTATTACAGTTCTTGCATCAAATAAAAAAAAAATCTAAATAAGGCGTTTTTAACTTCCTTAATTGGTCCTGGTATAATAGTCAATAGTGCGACCTCAGGTGTAAACAGTCCCTGGACCTTAATAAAATGTGCTCATATTTTATAGACCATTTCCCAAAAAGATTGAATCTCTTGGCAGGACCACCATACATGTAGCATAGTACCTCTCTCTGCTCCACATCCCCAGCATTGATTGGATATGTTTGGGAAGATCTTATGTAATAAAGTGGGGTATCTACACTATCTTGTCAATATCTTAAAGTTCCGTTCCTGGATATACCTTGAAATAATTGATTTAAATGTTAACACAAAAGATAATTTCTAAGAGGTTTAAATCTCGAAAGAGCAGTAATGAAATGTTTAAGCTGAAAGTATGCATACCACTGTACCCATGTGGAACCACCTTCTGGGGATATATAAAATGATCTGAAATTGCTTGAATAATAGGGGCTGGTTGCATAGCGGTCCATTTTAAAAAACTTGAGCAAGCCAACCCTGATACAGTTTTACCTGGTGTTGCACTCTAGTATAGCTGTCTAACAGGCTTATTCTGAAAAAAAAAGAAAAGCTCATAGGTGGCTCAATACAGAGGTCCTGCATTCAGATAAGGCTACAAATAGTTGCTAGTTATTAAAAGAGATTAAAAAAACGACTATTCACAGCAAGGGTGTTACCTAAGGTTCCTTTACAAGACAAGTATATGTTATTTAATAGTTATATATTAATACATACATCAATTTTCAGTAGCTTTTCTGTTACAAGTTCCAAAATTTCCAGCCGGAGCACTGGGAAGTAGACTGTGATCCTCAGAAGGTTATGTATGTAGCACTCCTGGTACACAACAAATGGCGATTAGTATGTAAAACAGAACACATATGCAGCATCATCAGTAGATTAAATCACAAAGTGGCCCAATTCTATTGGCAACTGATAGCATTAGTTTATCACATTTGTGTATAATTTTGCCAATATGCTCTAAAATGCCACTGAAACTGTTATATTTATATTTTGCCTTACCTGTAAAATATGTTTTTTGGACAGCTGCCCTGTATAGCCCTTCCCACTCCCAGCCTGCCTCCTTTTTTTTGCTAGTGTTGTGAGGTCACTGATGCCTTCTCTCACCTCTAAGAGAAGCACACCTTTTTGCACTAATTTTTCTAGTAGACTCTTCCAAGTAAAAAAAAGAGAGGGGCGGTTAACACAGCAAACAACAGCTAACAGGACTATAAAGAACAACAGCCCCAACAGTTAACTAGAAACAGATGAAGGACCTTATGCCCAAAACCGACATCTGCAGAGGCCTAAAAGTCCACCTCGTAGAACTTGACAAAAGTGTGAAAAGAAGATCTGGTGGCAGTCTTATAAGTTTGGGAGACCCAAGTGTGATGCTGAAAAATGCAATAAGCACTAACACTTTTAATGGAGTGTGCCTTGACATCTTCAGCTTGTAGGCCTGAGTAATAGTTCAGCAAATCCACCTAGTAATAGTGAACCAAGAAGCTGGTTGTCCCCAGGGATGATGAAAAGGGAGTCAGACTTGCAAACAGAAGCTGCAAAGGGGTAAGCTGTAACCTCCTGAACAATGTCCAACCAAAAGGCAGAGGGAGCACTTTAGGATGTTTTGGTGCAGGACACGAGGAAGGTAACACAATATCAAGGTTAAAATGGAAGACAGAGACAGAAAATAGTCTCACTCCTTCAGCTGAATTCCAAACTTCACCTAAATGTTTTTCAGCCTCTCTGCCCATAGTAGTCACTGTGTACAAGCATTCCCTGCTAACTGTCAGCTCTTCTTACCTGGCTTGAAAAAGAAGCTTACGCTTCGAAACGCGCTGAAATCCCGCTTATCTACCTCTCGCAATCCCAGGGCTTCGGGCAGGAACCAATCCCAGTGAGCGAACAAAACTGTTTTGTGCGTCCGTCCCCACTCGCGCACACCATCCGTCTCTCCTTCACACAGCCTCACTGTGTCCTCAGCAGCTGAGCTGTCTCTTCCTCCCACTCAACAGACCGGAGACGTTCCCCCACACACGGCACCCAGGCTCCACACGCTGCAGCCCGCTGTGTCCACAGTCTCCTTTACTGTTTCCCTCCACTGTGATCTCTAAATCACTGCAGGACCTTCCCCTGAATCCCGACTCTCCCCACACTGGTCCGTCTCTGTCCCCCCTCCTCACCCTCTGTTACCTGAACATCAGAACGCCAGGACTCCACTCCCCTCCTTCCACCACTTTGCAGGACATAGAATGCTCTACCAGGCATTGTAGACCGCAAACCCCCGTCATCTAATAATTAGGGCGCCGTCCTCTCCAAGTGTCACTTGGCTCTCCCCCGCAAACCCCCCCTCCTCCTCACCCTGTTGCCTGGCCACAAGATGCTTCCCCGGACTGCAGTTTCCCAGCGTCCACACACCTCTCTTTCCTCCGGCAAAAATCCCCAGCCCCTCCTCATCACCTCTTCGTCAAGACCACAGGAGCCTCTGAAGATTCAACAGACACCAGCAGCCACCTCTCCCCTGCCTCACCCCTTCCCCTGCTCCTTCAACTACACATGAGGTTTCAGCACCAATACCTCCCACAGCAAGCTTGAATTGCCTGAACTCATTAACCCATTAATTACCTTCCTGGACAGTCACCCTGGACAACATCCACACAGCAAGTTCACAGCTTCCTTCACATCACCTGGCTCCACGCCAGTATCAAAGACTCTTCTCCACTACAACATCCCAAGAGTACCTGTCCTAAATCCGCCAGGATCAAAAGACGGCCAACCACAATCAAGATTGAAGCTACCCCGAAAAAAACTATTTCCATTCGACACCTGTTCTTCGTCGCTGATATCGTCACACACCAAACCCACTGGTGAGTTAAGAATGTACTTATTTTCCATATATTTGCACGGACCCTCACGGCATCACCAGGAGATCATCACCTGTGTGCCCATTCATCTCATCAGACGTGAGTGCCCATTTCTCATTTTCACCCACTATCACGTGATTCACTGTTATTCCCTGGTTTATCCACCTCCACAAAATCTGTGCCAGTTAGTTGTGCTCCTTCCCTTCCTCTCTTTCCGTTCACTGAAGAGATCTGCCCCCCTTTGAGGAAATTTGGGCAGATTGAGAATAGGAGTCAAGGAGGAGGTAAAGAGTGAAACTCCAGTTGGAAGTCTTTGAACATGATTGTAATCACACTTTGAACCCAAGTGCTGGAAATAGTAGTAAAGAATCACCAGCACACCAATGGGTAGTGTGTGAACACGTTTGCTTCTTCTTTAATCACGCTTAATATCACATCTCCAAGTGCAATGTTTTGGGGCCGCACAGGGTCCCCTTTATCAGGCTTAACATGATAACTATTGCTTAAAACCGCCACCTTATATTTCACAGTACCATCAACCAGTGTAAACAGCCAAACACAGTCCATCACACCCCCTCCGACTTCATGATGATGTCACATTCCCGCCAAATCAAAGGATTTCAAAAGCAGAATAATGTAAACAATATAAACAAATGATGCTCCTACTGTCTGTCAGCTCATCAATTGTGATCATATTCAGTTGTTGGTAATGAAACATAACTCATGCTTAGTCCACTCCACAAAGTGGAGAAAGAAGAACTAAAGAAGTTGCGCTGCATCTGGAGCATTCATCTGTCAAAGCCGCTGGTTTCATAGAGACTGGGATGCTCGTCACTAGCGCATTTGGCGAGTTAACAAAAAGACAAAAGTAGCAAACTTGGCTTTAGATTTGTGCAACATCTGCATTTTTGTTTTTTTTTTGTTCAGAAGGGCTTCCCAGGGATTTCAGGGAATGTCGCTATGTAAAGGATCGAAGACTGTTATTTACCCTAATCCATAGTTTCTGCATGACCACCAAATGTGGAGCACAGCCCCTAAAACAGTTAGGAAAAACAGTATGAACAAACTTTGCCACCCTCTTCGAAGTAAAATACCACAGCATCAAAACTTTATAGGAATTCTCCAAATAAATAACATTGGAAGAACTTTTAGATACATTAATCCAAATTGAGTTCCAGTGAGCAGGATCCCAGGTCCGTCTCCCACCTTGCCATATACAGTCATGGCCAAAAATATTGGCACCCCTGCATTTGTCAGATAATGTACCATTTCGCGCAGAAACTTGTTGCAATTACAAATGTTTAGGCATTATCATGTTTATTTCTTTTGTTTGTATTGGTATGACACAAAAAGGTGGAGGGAAAAAAAAGCCAAATCTGACACATTCCACGCAAAACTGGCAAAAATGATTGGCACCCTCAATTCATATTTGGTAGCACAGCTCTTTGAAAAAATAACTGAAATCAATCGCTTCCTGTAACCATCAATGAGTTTCTTACACCTCTCTACAGGAATTTTGGAACAGTCTTCTTTCGCCAACTGCTCCAGGTCTCTCAGATTTGAAGGGTTCCTTTTCCCAACTGCTGTTTTGAGATCTCTCCACATGTACTCTATGGGATTTAGAGCTAGACTCATTGTTGTATGTGTGCTGCACAGGCAGTGATGTGAAAATGTATCCGCTATGTAAGGAAGAAAGTAACCGTGTCGACTTAATTATGAAAACATATATCCTCGATATAAATCTGAGCCCTTTCTAAGACCTGTATTTAAAAGGAGCCGGTTCCTCAAAAACTAGTAGAAATAATGGGCATTGAAATACACCAATTAGAGGGAGATGAGGGGATATTACGTTCTTGGTGTATTTCATCCCGTTCCATTGCTCAAGAGAATGAAGTAAGGTCGGGTCACAGAGCTTTGGGTGATAAGCCGGAGGAAGCCAAATATAGTTATAAATAAGGATTGGAGAAGACTCCACGATATCAAGAAATCTGGGTTTTTAGGAACCCAAAATAAATCATAAAATGTTCCTTTGTTCAATTCTTAAGGCACCGATGGGAATTGGGAGATGATAGAATAAACTTAGGGAGAGGGGTCATCTTGATGGTATGGATTCTGCCAAAGACAAATGAATATTTCTCCAAGTATTTGAAAAGATCCTGAAATAGAGTGGGGTAATTTGCACTATGAAGAGTATCATAAGAGGGGGAGAGGTTGTCACCAAGATAAGGAAGTTCCAATGTCCAACAAAAAGTATCATTTTCGCGTAAAGTTGAGAAAGTTGCTGGGGATCCAGAGAGTTATTTAGAGCTTTTCATTTTGATTCATTGATGCGTAGACCCCAAATGAAAATGTTATTGCTTAAGAGACTGCTTAAAGTGTGACACAAAAGTTGCAAGATTTAACCCTATAGGGGACTAGGATTACTGCCTGGGCACCTAGGGTATAAATAGTGCAAAAGGGTGTACTTCTCACAGAGCTTAGAAAAGGCATCCATCCCCTAAGGACACTAGCAACAAACTGAGACAGGCTGGCAGTGGGAGGGGTTTTGCAGTGTTGTCCTGCAGCTTTGATTGATTTGCCAGTGTCCAATTACCTGCATAATCCCAGTGATTGAAAAATGTAACTACCTGTGTCCTATGGTGTACAAGATCAAGAAACCATATTTACTTTATGATTTTTTTAATCTTGTATATTAAAAGTGAAAACCAAGAAAGACAAACATGGACTCAATCAGAACTAGTGTTAAAATTTAGATATCATTCTGATAAACAAAAATCCAGCAACATCCCAATTGACTGCATTATACAGCTGCAATAAAATGCAATGTTTCAAGTTTCAGCAACTTTTGCAGTTTCAGCAAATTCTGTAGTTACATAGTATTTGAGGTTGAATAAAGACATTAGTCCATCAAGTCCAACCTATTAGGATCTCATTCTAAACAATGTAGTTTCTAAAGGTGTGAAGATCTCAAAA